GAGTCATGTGATCAGAGATGGAGTCATGTGATCAGAGACAGAGTCATGTGATCAGAGACGGAGCATCATAGAAATGAATCATTCCTGCAGGAACAGAAGAAGATGAAACTCCACCAGCTTCAGGGTCAGGTGATCACCTTGTTACAACTTCTGGAAGTTACAGCTCATTTAAAGAAACATATATTTTGTTGTTGTTACATTTATGATCAACAGATCTTAAGATTCATTTTATTTTGTTATTTTGGGAAACTTCACCTGCACTTTAGTTTTTGTGGAGGATTTATTGATTTATATTTTGTGCAGACTTTTTCATCTAAATAACAGAAGGATCATTTTTTTTTTTATACTTGGAGACTGAATACTTTACTAAATAATGTAATTTCAGTAAAATTAACCCTTGTTGTTTTTAGTTTTTATGTAATACTGCAAAGCAACATGTTAAGTTAATTTTGTCAAATGAATAACTAGGATTTTTTGGGGGGGTTATATCACGAAATTTATCGTTATCAGAATGCTCTGAAATATAACTATTATATTTGAGCCATATCGCCCACCCCTAGACATGAGTAATCGGATTAAACGGCCATTTGGAATAAAAATGTGTAAACTCCCCATTTGGATTATTTTTTGTTGATTTAGCTTGATCCAAAAGATTTTATAATCTGATTGAGACGGGTGGTTTATGACAATTCATAATTCCAACGGAGCGCATGTAAACACTTGATCTGTTAATTTTTTTTCCCGATTGCATGTGCGATCTATGTCTACCTCATGTATTTTCACCTGGCTAATGCTATAATGTTGGGAAACAAAACTGTTCGGTGAGCGACACAATATTTCTACAAGAAAGTTTGACAGAGCTCAAAATGATGTGTATCACCTGCAGCTCAGTCAGGGAGTGCAGCAACGTCTTCACCGTCATTAAAACCTGTCCAGGGTCCATTCTGGTGCTCAGGTTTGTTTATGTTCATCCTGGAAGTAAACCAGAAGTAAAACTTCTTCTGTGTTTTTTTTAAGGAGAATTTACCATTCTGCACACATCAGTACTTCTATTCAGAACAAAGCCCGCTGCATGTAAACGCTCGTCGTGAACGGATTGTCCCCATGTAAACGATGGATTCGAATTATTTAATCTGAAAACATTTCAATCCGGTCAAATAATTTTTCGTGTGTAAACATAGCTACTGGCTGATGGCCACTTGATATGTACAGAGGGCTGAGTGATACTAGCAATCACAGCATTGTAAGAGGGGGACAGTTGAACCTGGAGGCTCCGCCCCTGTTTAATGATGGACGGTTTCTTTTCACAAAGATGGCCTCCTTTACTCCTCTCTCAAACCATCGTTCCTCTCTGTCCAGGATGTGAACATCTTCATCCTTGAAAGAGTGACCGCTGGCCTGGAGATGAGTGTAGACCTCAGAGTCCTGGCAGGGCTTAAAGCGCTCCCGGCTGGATATCCAGCTTGAGAGCAAGGCAGCCCGCCGGTCCGCCTCAACTAAACTTAAGTTGATATACTGGGATTACATCCAATCACATTGAAGCTTGTGTTGTCTTGACCAATCACTAACAGGAAGGCGGGTCTTAGAAAAGCAAGCAAGCGTGTGTGTGTATGCAGCTTTGCAGTCGAATCAAATGCAGAAGATGCAGTTCGGTTACACCGGGATAAAATACACACTGCCACCAAAAAAAAGTCACACTCCAATATTTTGTTGGACCGCCTTTAGCTTTGGTTACAGCATGCATCCTCTGTGGCATTGCTTCGATAAGCTTCTGCAATGTCACAAGATCTATTTCCATCCAGTGCTGCATTAACTTTTCACTAAGATCTTGCACTGATGAGGGCAGATTCTGACCACTGTGCAAAGCCTTCTCGAACACATCCCAAAGATTCTCAATGGGGTTAAGGTCTGGACTTTGTGGTGGCCAATCCATGTGTGCAAATGATGTCTCATACTCCCAGAATCACTCTCACAGTTGGAGCCCGATGAATCCTGGCATTGTCATCTTGGAACATGACCGTGCCATCAGAGAAGAAAAAATCCATTGATGGAATAACCTGGTCATTCAGTATATTCAGGTAGTCAGCTGACCTTATTCTTTGAGCACATACTGTTGCTGAACCTGGACCTGGCCAACTGTAACAACCCCAGATCATAGCACTGTCCCCACAGACTTGTACAGTAGACACCAGGCATGATGGTGCATCACTTCACCTGCCTCTCTTCTTACCCTGATGCGTCCATCACTCTGGAACAGGTCTGGACTCATCAGACCACATGACCTTCTTCCATTGCTCCACAGTCCAATCTTTATGCTCCCTAGCAAATCGAAGCCTTTTTTTCCAGTTAGCCTCACTGGTTAGTGGTTTTCTTAAGGCTACACATCTGTTCAGTCCCAGTTGAGTTCCTTCACATTGTGTGTGTGGAAATGTTCTTACTGTCTCTATGAACCACAGCCCTGAGTGCTGCTGGTGTTTTTCTTCCATTTGATTTCACCAAACGTTTAAGTGATCGTCGATCATGATCATTCAGGATTTATTTCCGGCCACACTTCTTCCTGGAAGACGATGGGTCCCCACTGTCCTTCCAGTTTTTAATAATGTGTTGGACAGTTCTTAACCCAAACCATCCATTTCTTCCAGCATAAAATAATTTGGTCCTTTTTGTCGTTTACTGCTGCAGTTATTCTCTCCATCCTGTATATGCCCTTTGTGATGTCCATTCACATGTTCAATAACTAAAAACAGGAACATGCCTGCATTGGTTTTCCCAAAGAACTGAACTGATGTTTGAAGGCACTTAGAGAGGTCAAGGTCAAGAGCTTCAGATGTTTTTACAAGATATTCCAGGAAACAGGAGCGGAGTAGGAGAAGGTCCTTTTGTCTAGTTCAGTCCTCACTGAGGGGACACTGCAGGTAATAATGTCCTGAGAGCGCACGCTGTAGCTGCACTCACGCAGAGACATGTAGGAGGAGATGTATGAAGGCAGCAGACCAAGAAGTGATTTAAAGATGAAAATATACCAGTGAGAGAGTGTGTGAAGTTAATGGTGACCAGTTAACCAGTGAATACAGGGTGCAGTGGTGGGTACGATCATCACAGCCAGTTAGGAATCTTAGTGCACCATGATAGACAGCATCCAACATCTGCAGCATCCAACATCTGCAGGGTTCTTGTAGGAGCGTTCATGTAAATAATGTCACCGTAATCAATGGAGGGAAGGAAAGTCACAGATACAAGTTGTTTCCTAACATTCAGGGTTAGACAGGATCTGTTTCTGAAAAAGAAACCCAGTTTAACTTTCAGTTTCTTTACCAAGTTTTCAAAACTGGTCAAACTGGTTGAAAACAACAAAGAAATTTCACATTTTTAATAATATATAGATATATATAATATGCATTTTAAATAAATAAATTATATAGTATTTAATATAATTAAATATGCACAAGATCCTACATTTTTCAGTCGGGTCATGTGGACAGTTTCTTTTGGAGTAAGCTGTTTGGGGGAAGAATCAGTTTTGTGTTGTGTGTTTCCTTGACTGATGAAGCCTTCTGGATGGAAGGTGAAACGTTTCAGCAAAATAAGAAACTGTCCAGATGACCTGACTGAAAATTGTTGGATTGTATACCTGGATTATTGAGCATGCATCAGGATATGCACGAGAAGGTTTTTTTTACTGCTAAAATACCATTAAACTGTTGTGTTTTTGTTCAAGATGTTTTTGTTCAAGATTTATCATGCTATCAACCTCAGCCCAAGTGTATTTGAAACAATGTGTTAATTTTTCAGTATATAATCTGGAAAGAAAGACTTACAGTGGATTTTTGGTTGTTAAATGACTCCACCAGACTAACTAGTTCAGTTAATCTTCCTCTCAGACTGCCAGATTACAGTAAAGGAAGGAGCATATTTAAATGTTCCAAGTGTTCAAACCATATAAAATCAGTTCAGTTACAGAACAAAGTATGTGTAGTAGGTTTTTGGTTCTTTCCCTCCAGACTAACTGGGTTTACTTGGATAAGGAGCACACTGATGATGCAATGATATTGAAGCCAGCACCAAGAACTGCTGGAACTATTCAT